TTGAAAATATTTTCATCCATTTTTCCCCATTATTTTCTGCCATTATGTTGGATAATAATGGCTTGGTTTAATCTGTGTGACATTAATTTTTAGGGAATTGTCCTCACTCTGTAAAACTCACACATGATAGTGTGATAACGCAAAAACTCCTTTGTACAGGTTGACATTTTAGTGCCAGCTGGTTTTTGTATTAGCTGATATGTAGGGAGAGACAGGAGAGCCATTCGCCGTGTTTCTTAGCCTAGATGCATTGAAAAAGCACTGTTGGTTTATACCATGCATTCAGATAGGTTTTTCAGCTTGCAGAAATTTAATTCAGATGAAATTTCAGCACTTTTGGGAGAGAGTGAAATAGGGTTATTTGTCTGTAGAATACACTGTAGGATTGATTCATTGTGTTAGTTTTCTCCAGAATTTAGAATTTTTGCATTTGGCTTGAATACATGCGTATATGATGGTCGTTTCACAGACTCATCTAGTACATTTAGAATTTAGAGGTTGCTAGTGAATTAAAGCTAGAAGTGGGTTGACTGATTATTCCTTGTAACTCTTTAATAATGCAACTGATTTATGCTGCATCTAGATTTTCGGTGTGACCCAGTGTAATATCACATAATCATGTGGTACCAATAACCACAAAAATAGGAAGATGGCACCCTGAAGATGCCAAGCAGGAAGAACAGGTTGATGATAGGGGAGGGCTCGTGGAGTCTGGCTGCAGGAGGCTGGTTGTGCTTTTCTGTCTGCAGCTCTTATCATTAAGCTGGAAAGCACAAGTGAAAGGAATACATTAGGAGCCCATACAGATTTTAGCCTGTCACTGTTGGTGCACTCCTGTCTTTTGTTCTCCCAAATACAGTGTTCCTGCATATGTCTGTAGATGTCTCCAGCTCAGTACTCCACTCTTCTTTCAGTTACTTTCATCTGCTCCAGTTGGATTCAAAGTGGCTGCCGATCAGCGTGTTGTCTCAGTGCAAGACAAGGTCTCCTGTCTTCCACTGAGATCTCAATTGAGCTTCCAGCTACTGATCTGCCTAACCGCCGGGTGCAAGCGGCCACTGACGGCTGGCAGTTAGTACCATTTGCTGCTAATCAGCTACTGCAATATGCAGCTGAGGCCAGGTAGAGCAGTGGCTGCATAGCATGGGGAGCAGTGGTCACTGTGGTTGACAGCGGCTGATCAGAGGTCTTGGAGATAACTGGTTTTCTCCTGGGAGAAGGCAGAGAGGGCTAGTTAGCTGCCTGGTAGTAGCTGTGTTTTGAAACAGTGATTATCTGTGGTTACCAGTGGTGACTTTCTAGTTCCAGCATAAATGGAGCAGCAGTGGTGTGATCTGGAGGTGGGAGCAAGTAGAGAGCTTCATGGTTTAAAAGATGCTCAGCCGAGCTGCAAGCAATGAACTTGATCAGATGCACTGAACACCAGACTCCGAGCAGTTTCTGCTTACCTGCCAGCTTCTGCCTGACAAGGTAGGAACAGCGACACTGCTTTGGTATGGCGCTCTGTTCCCCATTTCATACCCTTTCTGTCCTCACCTTCAGAAATTCCCAGGCTGACTGTCTCTGGGCTACCCAGCACGCGGAGGTGAGCAAGTCCAGTGCTCTCCTCGTGGGCAACCGGGCCAAGAAGTGGCAGCCGCTCTGGGCTGGTGCTCTGAGTTCTCTTGTACGGAGAAGGGAAGCCCGCCCGGCCAGCTCTCACCCACCCAGTGTGGTGGGATGTGCCCGGTGGTGTGGCCGTGTGTGGTTTGGGCTTGCCGTGAAACAGAAAGGACAGGCTGAACTGAAATCTGGTGGAAGGGCCGGACAGAAAATAGATGAAAATCATTTGCAGCCTTGTATTTCAGTTTTGGTCTTCTGTGGCAAGGTCTAGCAACATTAACTTTCACACCTCTGGCAGACAAGCTTTGTGCTATCCAAAACATTGCTGCCAAAAATCCTCTGTATTGACATTGTGATTGGAAGGATGTTTTGCTCTCAAAGCTAGCAACTGCGAAGAGATTTGGAAGAGTAATTCAGGCTGTTACCTGCAGTTTGTTCTGCAGATGCCCTTTTGCAAACTATAAATCCTAACCTGCCCAAAGGAGCTGTTAAGTGATGTTATTAGCTTGGTTCAAGTCAAACAGTTTGACATCCTTTGAACAGAAGTATTACGTGAGGTTGATGGTCTGTATTCCTGTACTTCAGCTCAGAACTTGAAATTCGTCTCTGCCACAAGCACGCATGGTTTGTTTTCAGATGCCTTGCAAATGAATATTTTATGCGGTAGCTGTGGCCAAGTGCTGCAGGATGGCCTTTGATGCGCTTGGCGTCAGCCGAGCGGCCTTGGCTGTGTTGGCAGGGCCCTCTGGTGGGAAGGCAGCCCTCGCCAGCCTCGGGGCCC